GGTTTTGGGACTTCTAACCAGGCAGTGAAGAAGGACCCCCTCCCCCCCCACTGGGATAAATCTCCCTGCTCTCAAAGGATTCCAAAAGGGGCATCTAAAATGGGTAGATGATGAAGTGGAGGAGCAGCAATTACTTTATTTAACCATCATTCCTTTGAATTAAGCCCTAACCCAGCCCACGGCCCTTTGGGGGCCACTCCACAGTGAAAACTGGTGTCCCGAGGGTGCCAGCAAGTGCTTGGGGACCCGCCAAGGAAACACTTGTCCTCAACTGCCCTCAAATCACTCAAAAAAAAAAAGCCACATTTGCAGCTTTAGCCCTTTGCTTCCCTGGCCTTGGCTCATGCAAAAAGCTCCCGGGCCGGATCCTGCCCTTTACAAATCCACCTCAACACCCCTGATTAGGTGGGCAGCGCCTTCCCCTGACGCAAACAGTGGTTAATAAATAGCACTTGGCCACCACGAATCACCCCGTGAATGATTCTCCAGGGGGAACGGGGACCGGAGGAGCATCCCCAGCCACCGCTCAGCGCCTCCCTGCTACCTCTGGACCGAGGTGGCTTGGGATGGTGACAGGGTAAAAAAAAAGAGCATGTGGCACGCTTGGGCACCCGTCCTTCCTGCCGGGGTTAATATTGGAGAGGTGGGGGGAGGGCAGGGGGCAAGCAGTAAATATTAATGGCAGGTCATGGTGCAACCTCCATCCGGGAGCACGTTACGCCACCACTGTCGTTTTTCCAGGGGAGAGATTGATTTGTGGATTTTAAATTGGGGGTGGAAAAGCTGCATCCCTGCACTTGGGTAGCATCTTGGGAAAAACGGTCTTGCCAGGAAGGATTCATTCACCTGGAGATGAAATACAGATTTTTTTTCCTAGGAGAAAGCTCCTTTCTGGAGCGAAATAGAGAGAAGTTGGGTAGGGAGCGGGGTGGATGTTACTAGAGGAGAGGTCCTCACCAGGAAGAAAGTGAAGGAGCAATAAATACCTGTAGTGTGACCCGAGGGGCAAATGGAGCGAAGGGAGTGGGAAGGAAAAGGTTCAAAACCAGGAGGGTTTTCGACCCCAAGAGATATTAACTCCACTCCCGCTGAGACAAACAACCCCGGAGAACAATTTATTCTGCAGCCAGATGCCAAAATTCTAGGTTCTGTCTAAAAACCAGCCGTGCGGAGCAACAGGCTCCTCTGCACCGACTGTCGTCGCCAGGCACAGAGCAGAAGGGGAGAGGAGCAGCTCCAGGCTGAGCCCTGGGAGGAGGAGAGGGAAGGAGGGTACAACCCTGCTCTCTACTTACACCTGAGACACAGGAGGGGCTGGGGAACGGGCGGCTGCCCTCCTCACAGCCGCTTCCCCGAGCAAGCAAAGAGCACGGCCAGGTCCCGGAGCGACGGCAGCACCAAGGGGCTCCTGTCCACGGGGACGCAGGAGGAGAGGACGGACTGCAGCGCCTGGCTGTAGGCTGAGGGGACACAGAGCAAGTGTGAAGGGACATGAGTTTCACTTCCAGCCCGAAACTGGACTCAGCTTCAGCCTTTTACCAGCAAACACAGAGAGAAGAACCGGCTTTTAAGATAAATGGACAGGCTTGTAGTTTTCCACACATTCCTGAGTACGAAGCCAGAAAAGCCAAAGCAGCAAAGCCAAAGATTTTTATAGAACCCCAATGTCTCTATTTTTTTTTCTCCCCTAGAAGACAAATCCTAGTTTCTCAGCCAGGTATTTTTCCAGAGATCAGAGCACTCTGTCACCTAAGACAATTTCCACCACCTTCTTGCCTCCTCCCAGCAGGATATTCAGTGTTTAAGGCAAAGAGGTTTTCTGTGCCTATTGGGCAGCGTTTTCTTTACAGCTCCCCCGCCTCCCAGTGCCATCTGCGTGACTGCAGCCTTATTTAACACCTTAGAAAGGCTGGGGATGCCACTAAGCTCCTTGAAGGAACAGAGGAAGAGGCTGAGTTAGAAACAAGCAGCAGACCTTGTCTTTTCCAGAGCATATTTGTAGGAGCATCTCTACAGCCCAGGACCACGGAAAGGTGCTGCTAGGTTTGATTTCTCCCAGGATAATGAGGGCTGCAGGTCCAGGCACCTCCTCTGCAGAAGCAGGAGCCCCTACCTTTGGGGTTTTTGTAGAAGACACAGTTGTTGGCACAGGTATCCGGGTGGGAATCCCAGAAATCAGACCCACAGGAACACAGCGGGGGCAAGTCAATGTTATACAGTTTTATCTTCTCCCTCATCTGGGCTCTCAGGGCATCGATGTACCTGCAAGGGAGAAAATATCTCTGCCAGTAACACCCACTTGGGCTCTACACGAGGAGAGAGGACCCGGCTGTACCTCGCCTGCTCCTTATTTCGTTGGGGTTTATCCTCAACCTTCCTCACTCTCCTCTCCTCCAGTTTAAGCTGAGCCAGGGATCTGCAGGTCTCCTCTCCCAGGGGGAGTTCTTGCTGCTCAGCCTCCTCCTGCATCCTCCGCTCTTCCGCCCGGCGCTGCTTCTCCTTCTTGCTCTTAATCCTGCAGGCACACACATGCTTAGAGAAAGAGCTTCCCCATCCCAACCTCCATTCCCCACCAGACCCTGGTTTACAACTGGGGCAAGTGGCTCAGGATGCTCCTGCTGCCTGTGGCAGGTGAAAGTAACTGCTAATTGCAGCACTGACTTTCTAACAGCCTTAAAGTGGTCAAAAATGCTTTATGAGCCTCTTTTCTTTCCCCCCTATGGAACTACCAGCCTATGAATGCTCTCCTTCCTTTGACCTCCTCCTGCCTGCCAGCTTTCCCACCATCCTGGACTTCTCCTTCCAGCTCATCTCCCCCATTCCAGCAGTGTCACCTGCAGTTCCCCAAAAGAGCTGCTCTTCTGGCCTCCCAAAACCAAGCGCAGTGCCCAGTCCCTTTGATATCTACCAGGAAGGACCTACAGGTTCCCTTCCCCACTTCTGATTTCTTCAGATGATGGGGCAGCTTGGATCCTACCCTGGCCTTGCAGCTTCCAGGATGAGGAGCAAAACAGAGCTATGGAAGGGTGCTGGGTACAGCAGAGAAGCTCCAAGGATCCCATGCCTACTCCAAAATAAGCTTTACGAGGCATTTTTAACCAAATCTTCCTCTATTTCCTCAGTCTCCCTCGCACCTACATGGCTCTCCAGCCCTTCCAGTGGAATTTGGGTTGTCCGTCTCACGCCAAAGGCGAAGCACGTTCCCTTGACGAGCAGTAATTACGAAGCACAAAGACTATAAAATTGAAGCATCTGCCATTTTATTCCCGCTGAGGAGCACCAAATGCAATAACACGGTCCAGGCCGATGGCTGCCAAAAGGCATTCAAAAGAACCTCTAGTCTGGGTAGAAGCCAGAGGGAGAAAGCGTAATCGAAGGAGACATTTCGGATGTTACTCCATTCGGGGGGTGTCAGATCTTTCCATCAAGAAGGAAAGTGCTGAAGCCAAACTTCTCTAGTCGAGTTATAAACTCCAAAATGTTTTTCAGATGAGGTGGTAATAGAGCCTTAACTACCCCACCATAAATCTTCTACTATAGAAACTAAGGCCAAGGCCAACTTAAGGCTTTACACCAAGTAATTACAAAACCAGCTCTTTTCCTCATAAGCCCCAAGCAGCTTGCAGCTCCAGCAACCGGGGGAAAAAAAAAGTAATAAAAAGATACGACACTAAACTAGCAAGTCCCTGGTGCCTCGCCAGCACTTGCAGGGCTGGAAAAGGTCTTCGAAGCTCCCGAGTGCCAATTTAAACGCCAGGAATGTGGCTGGGGGAACCTCTCTTTAGACTGGCAAGAAAAGACCATGAAAATCCTGCCCTCAGGTGCCTGTCCTGCTCCCACAAAGCCTGCCCGGTGCAAAGCCACTTAGAGACCCAGAGGGTCAAAGCCCCGTTTTATTTTAGAGCAAGCCAAAGACAAAAACAATAAATCTAGAGTCTCTTTCCTATTTTGGTGGGAATTTGCAGGGCTCCTCCTCAAGAAACCCCTTAAAGGGAGATGATGACTAAACCACCCAAACAAGCACTGACACTTGTACACAGATACCAAGTTTTCAACTCTGGACCAAATCCTAGGAAATCTTTTTATTACATTTATATAACGTTTATAGCTTGGAAGGTGAAGGGTCTGATGATAAAACCCACAGAGATAAGCTCAGTTTAACAACAATGATGTGACCTCAGGCCAGAGTTTCTGAACAAGGACTGTAGCACAGGGTCTGGGGATCAGCTCCCCAAGAGTCATGTGTTTGGGGAGCTGTGACTCTCCCAGCCACACGTTTCGGTTCCCAGCTCCTATCCAGAAGCAGGCAGAGAAGCTCTGGGCAACTCTGAAGGACTTGACCTGCCCCAAGGGTCTCTCTTGGAGGGTCGGAGAAGTGAATCCCACCCCCGGGTTAACAGATTGGGCACTAAGATGAACTCAGGAGAAAAGTCAGGCTTTGCAACTGGCACTCACATCATGGGCCTTCTTTCAAAGTACCCCTGTGGTTTTCACATCAAGCAGGACACTATTCTCAAAGCCTTTGGGCTACAGAAGTGCTGTGCAAACCACAGGCACCTGGGTCCCACCAGACAAGCTCACGAGACCTTCCTAACCTTAGGTGTCACCTCCTTCGTCCCTGTCTGCGACCAAGGCAGTGACACCGAGAGGCTGGCTCTCACCCACGTGTACTCACTCGGTGATTCTCTTCTGCCTCTCTCTCCGCCTGAGCTGTTCCTTCACTTGCTCCCGCTCGATGTTCATGAAGAGGCGCCTGTTCCTCAGGTACTGGGTCTGATGCTGCAGGAAAGAGGTGTCCCTTTGAGAAGGGACATCTGGGATCAACGTTGGGTGATACTGGCGCTCGGCCGATTTCTGCAGTGCATGTCTATCAGGAGAGAAACCTCCCTCCTTCCCCAAGAGATCTTCAAACATCTCCTTGTGGACATGTCCCAGGACTGAGAAGCCAGATAGACACCCAGGAGAGGAGGCCCAAGACATGTCTTGGTACCAGCATCCCTCGCTGAACCTTCCTATGGGCAGCATCTCTGTCAGCTGAAAAATTCCTAAACTCTCACTTTCCTGGGAGTAAAAGAGCTGGTTCCCACTTCAACCCACTACAAGGATGAGAATTTTGATCCACTTGGGGACTCTGAGGTTCACTGGAAGCCAGTATCTCCAAAAAGATAATGAAGGTACAACTCCAAGCTGGACCCACTGCACACAGGAGAACCACAAAGGTGGCAAACTCTGCATTCAGAAGAGCATGATCAGCAGGTGGAGGGAGGTCATCCTCCCCCTCTGCTCTGCCCTGGGGAAGCTCTGTCTGGAGCACTGGGACCAGTTCTGGGCTCCCCAGTTCAAGAAGGACAGGGGAACTGCTGGAGAGAGTCCAGCGGAAGCTACAAAGATGATGAGGGGCCTGGAGCATCTCTCTGCTGAGGAAAGGCTGAGGGACCTGGGGCTGTTCAGCTGGAGAAGAGCAGACTGAGAGGGGACTCATCGATGCTGAGCAGTAGCTAAAGGGTGGGTGCAAGAGGATGGGGCCAGACCCTTCTCGGTGGTGCCCGGTGACAGGACAAGGGGCAACGGGCACCATGGCAACACGGGAAATTCCTTCTCAACACGGGAAATTCCAGGCAACATGGGAAATTCCATCTCAACACGAGGAAGAAGTTCTTTCCTGTGAGGGTGGCAGAGCCCTGGAAGAGGCTGCCCAGAGAGGGTGTGGGGTGTCCTTCTCTGGAGACATTCAAACCCCACCTGTGCGTGATCCTGTCCAACCTGCTCTGGCTTAGGCAGGGGGTTGGAGGAGATGATCTCCAGAGGTCCCTTCCCACCCCTGCCATTCTGTGACTCTGCGAACTTGTTGCTGAGCTAAACCCAAGAGCCCTGCAGGGAACAACCACTGTACCCACCAAGCACAAAGAGGTTTCATGTCTGGGCTTCGGCTTAACTGCAGGGATGCAGCAAGGGCAGGGAAACCTCCTGGTCGAAGCTCATACCAAAAGTCCTCCCACCCACATGGGTACACAGCTAGTGTGATCTCCACGATGCCAGGAAGTACAGGGCGTGGACTTTTCCTCATCAACACCATGAGTTTTGGGGTGAGCTCGTCCCTCTCACCCAGAAGAACGCATCCCACATAGTTGGAGATAATGGAGCAGGAGATCACCAGGCTGACAGCTGGACGGAAAAAACCTACGAGGAAGAAAGTGCTGCAAAACCAGTTATCTCAGGGTGGATCAGAGCCAAGGAGATAAAAAGCAAGGAGCAGAGGGAAGCGCTGGGGGAAGGAGCAGTGTGATGAGCCCCAGCTGCTGTCACATCGTCTAGAAACCACAACTGGCTTTGGGGTCAGCTTGTTGGAAAATGCAATTCTCTCCAAGCCCTTTCGAGTTTTAGGCTGCAAGCAAGCCGACAAAAGAGGGAAGTGTTCCTCTTCACATCAGTAGGAGGCAGGAAAATAGAAGTCCCTTCCTTTAGGCATCCAAGAGAAACATCAGCTCTTTGCATCGCCTGGATTAGCGTCAGCCTGGACACAGGCTGGTGAGTCCTCACTGTTAAATCAGACACTCAGCACCAGGCCTGCAGCCTGTGCCACCACCTCGATGCCTGTGAGGTGCTGATATGGTGGAAACCCTTCTATCCCAAACAAGATAAAAGTGGGGTTTGTTCTTTTTTTCTTTTTTTTTTTTTTTTAAAGCATTTTTGGCAGCTTCTCTCTCTCCGTGCAACTACAGAAAGCGACAGCTTTGTTTTGCCAAGCAAAATGAACGAAGCCCGTTTCTCCTCCAGCGTTATCTGGATCCCAGATTTTGCAGGAGGAGCACGTAATGGTTGTGTGTACTGTCATGATGGACCTTAAAAAGAGAACCCAAGGGCTGAGACATCATCAACTCTGAGGAACTCATGCTTTATACACTACGGCTCCTCTTGAGGCTTCTTATCTGAGGCAGCAGCATCCCCCACACTCAATACCTTTCAGTACCAAAACTGAAAATGAAAAAACGAGGACTTGGCTCCAGCAGACAAACCTGTTTCTTGGTTTCCTCTTGGTCTACACCAGCCCAGAGAACAATGGGAGCTTGATGATGGGTATGCAGCCTCTGGGGAGGTTCGGATAAGCTCGAGTCCTTCACCGATCCATCACAGAACTGGAAGAGAATGTAAGACAGCAGCATCAGCATCTTCATGGTCAAATTTCGCATCTCCATGGTCAAATTTTGCATCTTCTTTGTCAAATTTCTCATCTTCAGCAAAATGCTCCTTGCTGGAGGTGAGTGCTCCATGCAATATCCCCACAGTCCTCAGTGGGATAAGCCACCTACAAGCTGTGCTTTTTTTTTGGGGTACAGGTTGGCTTCTCCTTCCTGTCACCAGACAGGAGAGACACGTGCGACATCTCCACAGAGGAGGCTGAGCACCAAAGCTTGACCAAAAGAAATCCTTGGAGGAGGTTTGTGGTTTAGTTTGAATATGGTTCACATCTCCCTTTCCCAAACTTCCATTAGGAACTTTGTGAAGCACAAGGAAAATAACAATAATAAAAATAACTTGAGGGTCAGGGGAATTCAACAACCAACACCTCCCCAAAACCTCAGCTTCCTTCCCCAACTTGGTATTTGCTAAGCCAGTATTTCTGCTCCTAGCTGGAGCCATCACCCGGTAAGGCTACAGCCATAAAGTATTCGCTAACTACTCCAGGTAATCAGGACAACACATTTCCACACCTCTTAATGAAAGCCTGCCTGAAAACAAAAGAGGAATCGATAAATACATTAACTCAGTCCTCACAAGCAGACACATTCCTGCTGCCTTTTAAGGGAGGTGTTTCGCCAGCCCGGAGACACAGGAATCAAGAGCCACCTTGTTCCTCTGATGCAGAACTTTCTTTTTCAAGTTTTCTAGGAGGTTTGGGGCTTGTTTGATGCATCACTCTGCAGGGCAGCCGGAGCAGAGACAGCTGCAGGTCCTGCTGGCAGAAGTTTGGAGCTCAGTTAAGTGGATGATGCGATTGCACGCTCCGTTTCAGGCTTCCGCTGAGCTCCAGCCAACTGGCATCACGCGGGAGGGACAAATAAAGCCCCTTTTGAAGCCACAGCTGTAAGATGAAAGCAGCAAAACAGAAGCAGCCAATCTTGCTTAGCTCTGACACTGCTTCTCCAGGCTGTTTCAACGACAGTAGGCTTCAGAGTTAACCAAGCCTGAAGGAGCAACTGCTCTTCTACAACAGCAGCCTCACCAACTGCCAAAATAAACCCAAAATCAAACAATTGGAACCTCTTAGGACCAACTGGCCCAGCCCCGTATAAATCTTACTTTTTCAAATTTGATTTTGATGTAGAAGTCATCATCTTGCTGTGCCGGGTGCGGGGCCATCCCTTGGTCTTGCAGCTCAGCTGGAAGATCATGATGTCCTGCTAGAAGCAGTTCCTCACTCTCATCTTCTGCAGGCACCGTGGCCGTCTTGCAAGATTCTGGTTTCTGGAGAAGGGAGAAGACAGGTGTAAATATGGAATTCAAACGTGGCCACTTTGGTGCCAGGGGCAAAGTCAACATCCTCATGCACAGGTAAGAGGTAGTTTTGACCCAAGGGCACTTGTTCTGTAGAGTCAGCTGAGATCTAGTGAGCAGCAACACAATGGCCAGTATCTGAGGACACCTAAAGAAAGCTGGAGAGGGGCTTTTCACAAGGACATGTCATGATAGGACAAGGGGTAATGGCTTCAAACTGAAAGAGGGGAGATTGAGATGAGATCTGGGGAAGAAATTCTTTACCCTGAGGGTGGTGAGAGCCTGGCCCAGGTTGCCCAGAGAAGCTGTGGCTGCCCCATCCCTGGAGGGGTTCAAGGCCGAGGTTGGAGGGGGCTTGGAGCAACCTGGTCTAGTGGGAGGTGTCCCTGCCCAGGGCAGGGGGCTGCAATAAGATGATCTTTAAGGTCCCTCCCAACCTAAACCATTCTGTGATTCTGTGATGTGTTCAAGCCTCACTCTAGGGCACCAGAGCCAGAAAATCTGAATTTCACAGGGTAACTCACGACAAAGTTCTCACCAACTGCAGGACTAGAGGGACAGATGTGCGGGGGGCGAAGGAATGGCAAGGAGAAGACCTCTCCAGGCACTGTTTCGCAACTGCAAGGAGCTTGGGGGGTGGTGGGATCTCTGGAGTGACATTCAAGTACGTAGCGTACTCCTTCAGATGGTAAGTGGGCAGGCTCCCCGGTGGCAATTAACAATATTTTGAGAGGCAGCAGATTGTTTCCTACAAACTAAAAAAAATCCAAATGCCAGAAGCAAGATCGGAGCCAGGATTTTTTTTTCTTCCTCTTCCTGCCTTGCCATCCCTTTAGCACACTGGGAAGGGAAAAGCAGGGCTGCTGGCAGAGGGAGAGGATGGATCAACAGGCCAGGGATGCCTTGAGATGCCTCTGCTGCTATGGAGGAAGGTTGGAGGGCTGCCCAGAGTTAGTCTGAACATGGAATTATTTGATAGGCATAGGAATTACTCCATCAACCCTGTTATGACAGAGGCACAACACAGAAAAGCTGCTTTGGTGAGGACAAGGGAGAAGAGAGTAACGGTTATTGCTTTGTAAGGATGCTCTGAAAGGCAGAAGGATATGAAACTGTAGAAGAAAACACCACCCAACTTTGAGGAATGATCAACCAGGGGAAAGAATGTGGGTGCTGTCCCCACTGGGGACCTCCAGCAGTCCACCAAGCCCTGAAGGCAGAGCGGCTGAAGACTTGGAGAACAGGATCATCTGAAACACCAGACAGGTCATTTCCACGCAATTACCATCTGGGTATCTGTTTGGGAAAGCAGGAAAGAAACTCTTTGGATGTTTTTGACCTGAAAAGAAATCTGTGGGGAGAGGAAAAGCAACAATTGTGGGAACGTAGATTATTATTGATTGCAGGGAACGCAACTTTTGGGAGGGAAGAAGGAAAAAAAATATAAGAAAAATGCAGAAAACTGGACTGAAGGAGAAGCAACGGTTCCTTTAAACTGAGCAAATGCAAACTGCCCTGCTGGAGAGGGAAGACAAGAAGCACAGGGTGAGACAAGCCTGGCTAAATCCCAAGCTGGTCTTGCACCCGCAATCCACGTGAGCATGGGGGAAGCAAAGCATGGCTCAGACTGCCAAAGGAATCACGCAGGAGACAACACAAACGCACGGGGACAAGAAAACAAAACAAGTGCCAGAAAGGCCAAAGCTGCAAGTAAAACACGAGAGACGAAGGTTACAAGTCAGGCTTTGGGAAGAGAGACAAAAGGCCTCGCTACTCAAGAAGGACAGCCGTCAGAGGACACCACGAACCACGGGTTTTATGCTTCTGGGCATTGGCGTTCAGCCAAACGCTCGCTCTGAGCCCACAGCACCAGCAAGAAGTGGGAAAGAAAAAGTCAAGATTATTGCTAGATGCCGAGGTTTTTAAGCAGGCAGGACCTGCCCTGCGTTACCGCCAGGAGTGGCACAGAAGCTACTAACAGCCTCCCTTTTCCCCACATCTATGGAGGTCCAGATTATCAGAAAAAGGCATGACCTAAGTTAGAAGTACCTAACTTTGAATAAAAGAGGGCAAAAGTAAATACAAAAGAGAAGATATCTGCCCCAAGAGTTTAACTGCCTGACTTTTGGAAAAAAACAAGAGGAAATCACCTTGCCAACTGCCTGTAAGATGCCAGAGAACAAGATAAGCAGCAATCAGCATAAATTTGTCAAGACCAAGTCATGTCTAGCTGGTTTGAACTTCTCCTGCAACAGAAGAAAGAGGCCTCAGGCAAAGCACAGCAGAAGATACCTCGATTTGAGCTTAGCTTTTGACATGGCCTAATTCAACACTTGTGGAAAGACATACCTGTTAGATGAAACTATTCTATGGGGCTGATTAAAAACACTACCCAAATTCGGTCTCAGGAGTTCATGGCACAAAAACAGAGTAAGAACTTGGGGGGCTCTGCTTGATAATTTCATTATCAGCCTGGATGATGGAAGTAAGCAGCATCTTGATGACATTTGCCAACCCCACCAAGCAACTTGAAGTTGCAGAAGTATTTGAGCACAAGCTAAAAAAGCTTGGGTTCAAACCGAATAAATCAGCTGGAATGGACCGTACAAGGAAATGCAGCAAGGACAAACGTAAAGGGCAAGGCAGTGCACTGGGGCAGTGTTATGGTTTGAGAAACCCATAACAATTTACTGTCAATTAGACAATTGATAGAATACTTAGAATGATTAGACCATCTGTCACCCGATGACCCTGCTGGTGGCTTCGGGAGGAAGGGAAGGGCTCAGGGCTCCGGCACCAGGACAAGGAGTTCTCAGGGGTGCAGCCATCAAGGCAAAGAGAGAGCACTATGCAGTAAACTTCTTAATTTATATATAACGTGACGTTCATGGTATGGAATAATCCTGTGGCAGCCTGGGTCAAGTGCCCCAGTCTCACTCCTCCTTGTCCCCACACCTGGCAAGGCTCAAAATCACCAAGACCCTGAATTCCCACATCCCGTAGCTGGCTATAAAGCAACTATTTTCATTAATTCAGACACTGGAGTCTTCTAAAAGTGCAGTTTTCCCATGCATTAGAAGATAAATTAGTCCTGTGGTGTCACTCTAACCAGGACAGGCAGCAATTGCCAGGGCGGTTGAATCAGCCTTTTGCATCTGAAGAGAAGGGAACGAGCTGCTGTCCTGCCTGGTGTGAACATGGCAAACCTTCACACAGCAAGAAAGATTCTGATTAATAGCAGAGCTTTTTTTTTTTTTTTTTTTTTCCCCTCTCTTGGAGTAATAAAATGGAGTTGTGCAATAAATCAATATATTCCTCCTGGAATAAACGGCCTAGGGAAGCCTTTAAATCCTCCTTGCCACAGGTGTGAAGAGAGCATGGATTAACTGTGGTTGCAGCAGGGCTGAGGTGGGTGGATGGCCCCGATACCCCCAGCTGCCTTCTCCCTGCTCCAGATGACTCGCCACGGGACTCCCACGCATCCCTCTTGCCATCTTCTGTCACCCTCCAGCTTGTGTGCAGACACTGTATTATTAATGTGAGGCTTTAGTAATGAAGGCCAAGTAATGAATCACTCCCATCTTGCTGAGCAGTCTGAACGCACTGAAGACTTACAATGAAGGTAGGTTTAGTGTCCGAAACAGCTAACGAGGTTTTTCAAAGGCATAATTGTACTGTTTCCACAACTCTGGTTCGTGAAGCTGACTTCCTTCAACAAAGATGATTCAAGGATTGGAGCATCTCCCTTATGAAGAAAGACTGAGAGAGCTGGGACTCTTTAGTCTGGAGAAGAGAAGGCTGAGGGGAGACCTTATCAATGCTGACAAGTATCTCAAGGGTGGGTTGAAGGAGGAGGGAGCCAGACTCTTTTCAGTGGTTCCCAGTGAGAGGACGAGGGGCAACGGGCACAAGTTGGAACAGAAGAGGTTCCACTCAAATAGGAGGAGAAACTTCTTCACAGTGAGGGTGCCAGAGCCCTGGAACAGGCTGCCCAGGGAGGTTGTGGAGTCCCCTTCTTAGGAGATTTTCAAGACCCGCCTGGATGCCGTCCTGAGTAACATGCTCTGACAAGCTCTAGGCAATCCTGCTTCAGCAGGGGAGTTGGACTAGATGATCTCTATGGTCCCTTCCAACTCTAAAAAACTCAGTGAAATTCAGAAATCCAACAGTACACAGAGAGCAGGAGCAGCCCTTCTATAAAAGATATTTTCTAGGTAACAGCCAGCCAAGATCTACTTCACCTTTGATGAACCCCAGAAAGAGATGGGAATGAAGAATTGCAAGATGGGCAGGAAACTGGCTGCAGAGGAGGCAGCAAGACAAAACGCGGGGTTGGGTTGGTGCTGGTGCTCTCCAGGACAGATAGACAAAGTACGTCAGTTCAAGCAAGGTCTTGGCACGGAAAGCAGGATAATAGCGGCGACACAAAGCTGCTCTTCACAACTGGAGTGACAAAAGCAGGATGAAATTCAACAGAACAAAAGGTGAGGCACTGGGGACTGACCTCCTTAAAGTGCACTGCTTCGAGGAAAGCAGATGGATGCTGACAATTCTCTGTTAGTCAGCCCTAGGCGAGGAAAACTCTCCCTATCTTTGCCACACACACAAAACAAGGGATTGATGCAAAGGAAAGAGTTGTTGAGGTTTGTTGAAGAAATAAAAGGCACATGAGGGGAGGGCTGATCATCATGTTCCTCCCAGACACCCAGATCACAATCTCAGCCTTTAAAAAAAAAAAATCTTTTTTGAATTCCTGTGTCCTAGTTTATCTCCCATTAGTCTCTGCAAACAGAGAGGTTTTCACCCACTTTATCCTCCTGCCTTCTCTTAAAGGCAGCAAGAACAGAGGGACAGAGCACTCTGGCCACCAAATTCTGGGGGTTAATCATCAGGTGGGTCACAAAAGCCCTGGTTTTTTCACTTCTGCTGGCGAAACTCGCTGAACTACACTTTGGATTCGCTAATGAGAGCCAGACCTTCAAGGGTTTGCAAGATGATTCCTCTCACCCCAACCCCAGGCAGCCCTCGCTCACCTCTCGCCTCCAGATGCCACCGGGGAGCTCGGGGGCACCCGCTCCTTGGGGCAGGGTCCTGCAGGATGCCAGCCTGCGCCGGACTTGCTTCATGGTTCTGTTGAGCTGCCGTGGTGAGGGAAGACAAGAAAAAACAAGAGATCACTAGCTTCTTTCTGTGAGGGCTACACCAAGGAGTTTAGCTGCACAGAAGAGATCTCCTAATGTATCCTGCTCCAACCAAGGGCCTTTAATCAAGAGACTCAACACACTTAGGTTCACAAATCGGTATAAGGTAACCTGCAACCCAAGGTGTCTTTCAGAGCTGCCCCAAAGTCCTGATCTGTGCACGGTGGAGATCTCGGTGACACCCTATCTGCTCCCAAATCACCCCACTGAGATGCCACAAGTCCCAGATCCTCAGTGTCCAGCCGGGAGGGATTCCCTGGCCCAGGGGAAGCGGTGCTTCACCTGGAATAACCCCAGCCCCTGGGCAAACACACTTCCTAAAATGCCACCTGCAGTGTAGTAAGTCTTATGAGGAGAGGCTGAGGGAGCTGGGGTTGCTCAGTCTGGGGAAGAGGAGACTGAGGGGAGACCTTATCGCTCTCTACAACTACCTGAAAGGAGGGTGTAGAGAGGAGGGGGTTGGTCTCTTCTCCCAAGTCACAGATGATAGGACAAGGGGTAATGACTTCAAGTTGTGCCAGGGTAGGTTTAGACTGAACATTAGGAAGGAATTTTTCACAGAGAGAGTGGTCAGGCATTGGAATAGGCTGCCCAGGGAGGGGGTTGAGTCACCATCCCTGGATGTGTTTAAGGGATGTTTAGATGGGGTTCTGAGGGATATAGTGTAGGGGAGGACTTTGTAGAGTAGGGTAGATGGTTGGACTCGATGATCCCCAGGGTCTCTTCCAGCCTAGATGATTCTGTGATTCTGTGTAAGCACCACTATTAAAAAATACCTTAAAACAGTCCCTTAGGGCAGTTTCTCTAAGATTTGGTGATCCCACGCTCCCGGGCTGCAGGAGAGAAGCTGCAATGAGGTGGCACCACCTAGTGCTGCCTCTCCAGCACGACATGCCAGCCCAGCAGCAAGCCCTTGCCTGCAGAGGGAAAAACCCCCCGGATCTACAAGCAGAAGGGCAAGTTTAACCACAGCATCCTCCAGGAGGGCAGTTTTGAGGCTCCCGTAAGGGATATGGAGGAGTACAACAACCAGAGTGAAAACACGAGTCAGTGTTTCATTCTGTATATAAAAAAAATAACTAGGGATGTGTTGCAATAGAGGGTAGAAAGATAAATATTGCCCTGTCCTGCCCTTCAAACCACAAGTAAACAGCATCTTGAGGAAAAACCACAGGAGGGGAAGGACTCACCGTGTTGGCTTGCTGCTGGAAGGGCTCACTGTGCCCCCCCTGGCGCGGTGCCGGGGCGGTGGGTGCGCTGGGACAGCGGATGGCAGGCGCGGGACGGCTGCAGAACAGGGACGTGCTCTTCTTGGGGGTCAGACGCAGCGCCGAGTCCCAGCACCTCACGGCCAGGCAGCTCTCCCTCTCAACCTGCCACCACACAGAGCCCCAGGTTAAAAAGCTGCACGTAAATCTCTAATCATCATCCAGCAGGACATCACTCGTGCTGCCCGGGAGCTGCTAGCTCTATTTGGTGGCATTTTTTGGGTACGGTCATTTCTGCTCTCCATGCTGAGAGGGGGCACGAAGAGCCATCATGGGGTGAAGGCATTTGCAGGCTTTCAGCCCGGAGTGGCGCTGGCAGAGTTAGGCGAGGACATCCCCACTCAACCATTGCCTCCCCAGCCCTGGAAAGAGCCCAAACACCCCAGGGGTGGCCAAAACTGTTGACATTTCCGTGCATTCCTTCCTTGCTCCGCAGTGAGCTTCTGGCAAGCATCCCTGGCAGTTGTTTAAAAGCAGAAAGGATTAAATATATTCACGGGATAACCTAAAACAAGCCCACGGGGGAACTGGGAATGTGGAGAGAGCGTGGAAGTGTTGCTTACGAACTATTTCCCCTGGAAAAGGGAGAGCAGAAGCAAGCTGATATGTTTAAATTTTGACCAGGAGGCGTCCACATCATTCACAGCTCTGGCCTGGCTATTTTTTAACTCTGGGCAATTCTGCACAGGGCATCGGGACTCTCTTCTGCTGCCCCAGAGAGCCAGCGACCCTTCTGTAGGGAGGCAAAGGGCTTATAAAAGCACCTTCAGCTCCAGAACGAGCCACGCTGACCTGGTGGAGAGGACGCCATTTGCGGTCACGGGGTCTGTCGTGACTACGAGTTTCCTCATTTTTTCTTATTAACCCCTTGACTTGAGGTCTAGTGGGGTTTTTTTCCCTGATTTACTCTGTTCCAGAAGTCTGCTCACCGCTTCGCAGGACTTCTCCAGCTGCTGCTTCCGTCGCATCCCGACCTGCCGGTTCACTCGCTGCTTCACCTCCCCCTGGAAGCGCCTCAGGCTGGCTGCCTTCTCCTGCTGCTTCTCCTTCAGCTCCTCCTCCACCTGGAAGGCTGCTGCCTGCAAGGGGCAAAAGACCAGTTTTATATCGAGTTTTGCCACGTGGATCAAGTTTTGCTGCATGGCGGCGGGTTGGATTCCACCTCCCCATCGCACACCTGCAGGAGCCAGGCCAAGTGGCACCCAGAGCCAACTTCACAATGTTTGATTTCAAAATCTGGGCAGTGACAGCTTGGACAGTGTATAATTAATTATTATGAGCTTGGATTGAGTCTACCTAGCCAGATACACACCTCTGCAACACACTGAAAGGAAAAAAGGCAGCCTCATACTGCAACTCCTCCTGCTCCCAGGAAAGGATGCTCAAATATTCCAAGCCCAGATGGGAAAGGAACAGGCCAACCTCTGATCCTATAGAAGAGCTGGAGAAGGACTCTTTGCCAGGAAGGGTAATGATAGGACAAGGGGAAACGGTTTTAAATTGGAAGAAAAAAGATTCAGATTAGATCTCAGGAAGAAATGTTTTACTATGAGGGTGGTGAGACACTGGAACAGGTTGCCCAGGGAAGTTGTGGATGCCCCACCCATCCCTGGAGGGGTTCAAGGCCAGGCTGGATGGGGCTTGGAGCAAACTGCTCTAGTGGGAGGTGTCCCTGCCCAGGGCAGGGGGCTGCAATGAGATGATCTTTAAGGTCCCTCCCAACCTAAACCATTCTGTGATTCTGTGATGTGTTCGAGCCTCACTCTAGGGCACCAGAGCCTAAAGCAAGAAAAAAAAAATCAGTCTGAAGGGATGGAGGAAAGGGGCAAGTGAAAATCAGCTTCATAAACGCCGGGTGAGACGCTCACGACATCCCGCTGGCTGCCAGGAGCACTAACGGCACCGAAGCAAGGTCAGCACAACCAACCCAAGAAGAAGAGGGAGAAATCCGCCCCGGTTCCTGTGAAACCAAACCAGAGCGACATCAAACGCTGCCAGCTCCACTCCACCCGCAGTTCTGCTGCAGGAGGCACTAAAGTATCTATTTTTAATATAATTTGCTGGAGTACAGAAGCGTATTACAGAATCACAGGATCACATGGGGTTGGAAGGGACTTCTGGAGATCATCTCCTCCAACCCCCTGCCACAGCAGGTCCACCCAGAGCAGGTCCCACAGGAACATGTCCAGGTGGGGTTTGAATGTCTCCAGAGAAGGAGACTCCACCCCCTCCCTGGGCAGCCTCTGCCAGGGCTCTGCCACCCTCACAAGAAAGAAGTTCCTCCTCATGTTTAGGTGGAACTTCTTATGTTCCAGTTTGTGCCCGTTTCCGCTTGTCCTGTGGCTGGGCACCACTGGAAAAAGACCGGCCCCATCCTCCTGACACCCACCCTTGAAGTATTTATAGGCATTGATCAGATCCCCCCTCAGTCTTCTCTTCTTCAGACTAAAAAGCCCCAAGTCCCTCAGCCTCTCCTTGTAAGAGAGATGCTCCAGGCATCACCTCATCATCTCTGTAGCCCTCTGCTGTACCCTCTCCAGCAGTTCCCTGTCCTTCTGGAACTGGGGAGCCCAGAACTGGACCCAGTGCTCCAGATGGGGCCTCCCCAGGGCAGAGCAGAGGGGCAGGATGACCTCTCTTGACCTGCTGGTCACACTCTTCTTGATGTCCCCCAGGATGCCCTTGGCCTTCTTGGCCACAAGGGCCCATTGCTATGCTCATGGGCATCCTGGTGTCCACCAGGATTTGGGTCTTTCTCCTCAGAGAAAGATTAAATAAGCTCAGACAACCCCCGTCAGCACCTTCGCTGACACCAGGAAGCTCCCATGGTGGGGGGGAGCGCCCCCACCTCCCCCGAGCAGCCAGAAAGAAACAGTCGGGCTCCCCCAGAAGTTTCCCAGCCCTGAGATGGAAGTTATGTAGAATATGGAGATGATTCATTTCCATATATTATCTCAACCTTTCAGGATTTAAATTACAATATGGAAATAAATCACGGCAGAAGGGCAGGAGCTTCTGTAACATTTAGGTGTTAATTACAGGGGACTGAACTCATCATCTTCTATTTAATGCACTTTTAGTCCTCTTACAATAACCCTCAAAGCAGAAATCCCTGAGATAAGCATCAATAAAGATTTTCTTAAGTGCTTCTAACGGGGTACGCAGTGGGGATGGGCTCCAGACCCTGAAATGTTCAACTTATTTAATTATTTTTTTTTTTTAAAAAAAAAGCAACATAGAATAAAACCTTAATTAAGCAATCAAGGGGAGCTGATGAGAGCACAGGCTGCCTTCCCCACCCCGCTGATGTTCAAAACCAACGCATTTCTCCTAAAAAAAACCCCCAGCTCACTTGAGGGGACCTGAGTCAGGGCTGAAGGAATCGGGATGCCAGGCGACGTGGACACGCCGGTGGCTTTTAACCACACCAGGAAATTATTAAAATCAATTATTCTTTTTAGGAGCGACGGTCCCGGCTGAATCCCAAGGGAAGGGAAAAAAAAGCTCATTTTTGGCCCCAAAAAAGCCAGAGGCACTCACAAAGGCCAGGCTCTCCTGGGGACCTCCGGGACCACTCTCCACCCAGGCGCCCACGGGGGCTACGATGGGGTTCCTCTCGGCCAGCACCCCCCAGCACTGCCGGGGGGGTCTCTCCTGGCACCCCCCCGCCTTCTCCCGGGGGGGCAGCATTCCGGCACAGCAGCTCCAGCCCTGGGGAAGGGGCAGAGGAGGTGAGTATGGCCTTCCCTTCCCACCCGCCATGTACTCCAACCTGCACCCACAGGGGCACCCCCCCAATGCCTTCACCCCCTCTGCACCCCCTCAC